GATGGTGCCGGCGCGCAACAAGAACTACCACCAGCTCATGCGCGGACTGCGGCTGGGTCGCTACCCGGGTGACCTGCACAACCAGTTCGACCACCTCTTCTTCACCGGCGACCTCAACTACCGCATCGCCATGGAGCGCGAGGACGTGCTGCGGCTCATCCACGACCGCCGCTGGGACACGCTCTACGCCAACGACCAGCTGCGCGACCAGCGCGCACAGAACAAGGTCTTCTGCGAGTTCAACGAGGGCGCGATCGACTTTGCGCCCACCTACCGATACAACCGCGGCGATCGCACCTACAGCGAAGAGGTGCGCACATCTCTTCCCATTGGCTCTGCTCGTCCATGCCCTCACTCTCTTTATGTCGTGTGTCGTGTGTGCCGTGTGTGTCGTGTTAAACAGAAACTGCGGGTGCCGTCGTATACGGACCGCGTGCTCTGGAAGTCGCTGACGCCAGACCGAAGCGCGCAGTTGCTATCGTACGAGGCCCACGACGGAATCATGACCAGCGACCACAGTCCCATCTCCGCGGTCTTCTCCCTCGACGTGCTGTTGCCGCCCCTGCCCGGTACCCACCGTTCTCTGCCCCAACCACCCATCCAGCCCATTCGCGTTCGCTCTTCCCACACGCACACGCACACGCACCACCGCACACGCACACGCACACTCACCACCGCACACGCACCACCACACACGCACCACCGCACACGCCAGACGAGAACTCGAAGAGATGTGTGATCATTATCTCGCGATTGCGAGCGACCAATATCGGAGTCCACCGAAAGATCAAGGAACAGAAGCGGGAGCAGAAGGAGGCGAAGAAGGACAGGGACCACAAGGAGCAGAGGGCCAAGGAGCAGAAGCGAGAGCTCAAAGAGCTCAAGCGAGAACTCAAAGAGCTCAAGAAGGAGCACAAAGAACTCACCAAGGAAAAGAAGAAGGTACAAGAGATTCATTGTTTACTGTTTCGTGCGTGTCGTGTGGCTCACACGACACGACACACACGGCACACACACACACACACACACACACAGCAGGACAAGAAGGACAAAGAGAAGGAGGTGAATGCCTACGTGGCCTTCAGCGGCCCATTCCTCGATGGAATGCACAAGACCGGTGTCGTCCCACGACGATCCGATCCTGGTGCGTTTCCACCGCACACAACACAACGCACGACACACCACACACACACACACACACACACAACACGCAATAACACGCACGCTTGTGTGCAGTGTGGGAAGACAAGGACGTGCCGATACTGGAGCCGCTGGCCTCGACCAAGCACTACCTCAAGCGCCAGATGCTCTTCATGGCGGTGCGCGGCCAGAGCGTCGCGTCGTCGGACGAGCTGGGCCAGGGCGTGCTCTCGCTGTGGGAGGCCTGCCGCCGCGACGGCCAGCCCGTCGACTTTGAGGTGCCCCTGCGCGACAAGGGCAAGGCCGCCGGCACCCTGTGCGGCCGGCTCATCGTCAAGTGGGAGGACCGACGCGCCGAGCGCCACGCGCGACTGCTCGACGTGAGCCTCAACCTGCGCCAGTCCCAGCAGGCGCCCGGCGGCGCCACCACCACCACCACCAAGCCGCTCGACTCGCTGCTCCTGGCATCAGCTGCCGCCGCCGCCGCCGCCTCAGCCTCGTCAACCATCGAAGAACTGGTCGCCCAGGGCCCCGGCGTGGCACAGCCGCAACCACAAGGACCCCAGCCGTGACGGCGCCAGCATGGTCCCATTTTCTCGCCTTTTTCTCGCATGTTCGGAGAGTAATATAGTTGGGGTGGAGTTCTGGTGGCATGGACCGAAACACCCCACGTGCCGCTGACGCACGCGCTCTGGGCGAGTGAGCCCAGGGCGACGGCCAGCAAACAATAAAGAGAAGAGAGAGAGCGAGCGAGAGATGATGGAGAGCGGCAAGGCCTTGAGGCGGCGGGTGGGGAGGGAGGAGGGGCGGCAGAGGGGGGAGACGCAGGGGATGAAGGACCAGCGAGTGATCGCTGACAATGCGTCGGCGACCGCGGCCAACAACGGCCGGCAGGTGGAACTGAGCGCCAAGAACAAGGCCGAGACGAGCTTCACTAAAATCTCCCTCCTCGACATCTGCCTCGAAGACAACCCCTACCTCCGAAGTGGTAAAGCATTTATTTTAATTCTCAATCTCATATTGAGAACAATGACAATAATCTCAGTTTAATAATCTTTTTCCAAATTAATTGTTCCTTTTCTTTTTCATTGTATTTTTCTGTATTAGTCAACCCATTTTTATTTATTTATTTCTGATGCATTGCGTCTAGGGTACCGAGAGATGGGCAAGGAGGACGCTTGCGCGTGCGTGTGCTCGGCCTTCGCGCTCCACAACGAAACTGTACGCCACACCGGACGCACACGCACACACGCACACGCACACACGCACAAACACAGATCACTGACGTCGCGACTTTCTCGCGTGGCGTATGTGTTGATGTCTACGACTTGTGCAAACAGGTAAATATCTGGACGCACGGTCTGGCATTTTTGATGTTCGCTGGTCTCGTGCTCGAGAACCTCCTCTCCACCGCCAACATGCCCTTCTACGACCGGTACCACCGCACACACGCCAACCGCACGCACCACCGCACGCACCACCGCACACACCGCACACACCGCACACACCGCACACACCACCGCACACACTCGAATGCAGACTGATGATGAATGGTGTGTGTGCAGTGTGGTGTTTCTGGTGTACCTGGGCTGTGTGTCGACCTGTTTCTTCATCAGCACGTTCTATCACGTGTTCCGCAACCACTCGGTCCGGGCCTACGCCAACTGGCTCATCGCAGATATCAATGGCGTCGGTACCGTTTCCCCCGCGCTCGTGCGCGTGCGTGAGCGTGCCGTGCGTGTGTCGTGCGGCCATCCGCGCGTTTACTTTGACTTTGGGCTGAACTCGATGCGTTCGTGGTGGTGGGTGGTGGGTGGTGGCCAGGCCTGTATATTTTTGGTTCGGTGCTGCTGGTGGCCTATTTTCGATTCTGGTGCCACGACGTGCACCGATGGACCTACATGGTACCCCCCCCCTACGCGCTTTTCTGACTGTCCACCACTCGAGTCGATCATATGCGCTCACACGACACGACACGACACGACACGACACGACACGACACGACACGACACGACACGACACGACACGACACGACACGACACGACACGACACGACACGACACGACACGACACGACACGACACGACACGACACGACACGACACGACACGACACGACACGACACACAACGACAGACTCTTGATGTGATGCTCTATTTGTCATTTTCGTATCGATGCCGGCCATCGTCAAGTACAAGCTCTTCAACCTGCGTACGTGTGGCCCTCCCTCCTTCGCTCTTTCTCTCTCTCTCTCTCTCTCTCTCTCTCTCTTGCTCACCCCCCACTCCCACCCCACCACCCTTCAGGTACCTGGCTGTTCGGTCTTCTCTCCATCCTCGGCCTGTGGGCCCACATCCACGCCGACATCCGCGACGGGGTACGTACCGTGTCATCTGTCGTGCTGCGTGTCGTGCGTGTCGTGCGTGTCGTGTGTGCCGTGCGTATCGTGCCGTGCGTGCCGCTCTAAATGTCGCGCCAACAGTTCTTCGAGTGGAACACGGTGAGCAGAAACCTCAAGCTGGTGTGGGTGGCCGTCTGCGTGATCGGCTCCATGGTACACCTCGCACCCGGCGACGATCCCCCCATAATTGCCCCCCCCCACTCTAACCACGGCGTGTTTACGCGCGGCAGGTCATCCGCAACAAGAAGGTCCCGGAGAGGTGGTACCCCGGCCGATTCGACATCTTTGTACGTATTTACGTTTGTGTCGTGTGCGTGTGCGTGTGCGTGTGTGGTGTTCCGCCCACATGGCTGACGTTGTTTGTGGTGTGGCCACGACTGCAGTTTGCGTCGCATCAAATCTTCCACGTCCTGGTGTGGCTCGGCATGTGCATCCTCTACTCCGTCTTCTACTCCGAGTTCGGCCCGACCAGTCTCACCGCCGACAACGGCCGCACCTGTCCCACTTCTCTGTCGCTTTGAGCTGTTTTGTTGCACTTTTCCTCATTTTTGCTAACTCTTGCGACCACACAGAAGAGTGTTTAAAACAAACATGATTGACATTTGTTTTCTGGTGTTGTAATGATGTAAAACAGTTTGTTGTTGGTTGATACACGGCCGCACTAGTGGCTCTTGGCTTGGAGCTGCTGTTCGAGCTCCTGCACGCGCCGCTCCAAATCACTTCGCGCCTGCTGCTCCTTCTCCAGCAACTCTCGCAGTCGGCACGCCTCCTTCTCCCAGTCCACCACCACCGGCGTTTTTGCTCGCGTCGATGCCCCCAAGCGATCTGGAGCGCGCGACCACCCCGAATCAGCACCGCGTGCGACACACCGCACTCA